TAAAATTATCCTTGAGCTTCTATTTGAGTTTATTCTTAAATTCTTTATTAGTGAGAGCTGATATCCAAAATATACAAAGATCTCAAGAAAATAGACATCAAAATACCAAATAATCCAATTAAAATTGGAGAATAGATCTAAACAGATAATTCCCAACAGAGGAATCTCAAATGTCATGAAGACATTTAAGGAATTGTTCAACATCCTTAGCCATCAGGGAAATGCAAACCAAAACAACTCTGAGATACCATCTCATAACTGTTGGGATGGTTAAGATCAAAAACACTAATGAAATCTTACAATGGAGAAGATGTGGAGCAAGGGGAACATTCCTCCAGTGCTGGTGGGAGTACAAACTGGTACAGTTGCTTTGGAAATCAGTATGGCAGTTTCTCAGAAAATTGGGAATCAATCTACCTCAAGACCCAACAATACCACTCTTGGGCATATACCCAAAAGATGCATGCTCATACCACAAGGACATTTACTCAACTATGTTCATAGCAACATTATTCATAATAGCCAGAACCTGAAAACAAACTAGATGCCCCTCAACTGACAAATAGATAAAGACAATGTACTACCTAATGGTACTACCTAATGGGGTACTATTCAATAGTAAAAAAAAAAAAAAAAAAACAATGACATCTTAAAATTTGCAGGCAAATGGATGAAACTAGAAAAAAAATATCCTGAGTGAGCTCATTGAGACCCAGGAGGACAACACAGTATTTACTCACTCTTAAGTGAATATTATACATAAAGCAAAGGATAACCAGCCTATAGTCCATAATCCCAGAGAAATTAAAAAACAAGGAGGACCCTAAGAGAAACATATATGGATCCCCCTGGGAAGGGGAAATAGGCAAGATCTACTGAGTAATCTGGGAGTGTTGGAGGGGAAGTGGGGAAGGAGAGAGAGGAAGATAGCAGGGGAAGGGAAGGAGAACATGATGGATTGGGAATGTCAAGCTGGGAGAAGGACAGAGAGGGAGAGCAAGTAAAGAGATACCTTGATAGAGGGAACCATTATGGGGTTAATGAGAAACCTGACACTAAGGAAATTGCCAGGAATCCACAAGAATGACCCCAGCTAAGAATCTAAGCAAAGGTGGAGGAAGTACCTGAACTGCCCTTCCCCTGCATGCAGATTGATGACTACCTTGTCATCATAGAACATTCATCCAATAACTGGTAGAAGCAGATACAGACATCCTCGGCTAAGCACTGGGCTGAACTCCTGGAGTCCGGTGTAGAAAGGGAGGAGCGATTATATCAAATGGGTCAAGACCATAAAATGGGGAAATCACATTAACAGTTGGCCTGAGCTAGTGGGAGCTCACTGATTCTGGACTGACAGCTAGGAAACCTGCATAAGACTGAACTAGGTTCTCTAAATGTGGGTAACAGTTGTATGACCCTGGAGGTGGAACCAGTATTTATCCCTAGTGCATGAACTGTCTTTTTGGAGCCCATTCCCTATGAAGGGATACATTGCTCAGACTAGATACAAGGGGAGGGCCTAGGTCCTGTCTCAAGTAATATGATAGACTTCATTAACTCCTCATGGAAGCCCTCACCCTCTCTGAGGAATGGATGAGGAGTGGGTGGGGAGTGGGCGGGGAGGAGTGGAAAGATGGGAGAGAGAGGGAACTGGGATTGGTATGTAAAATAAAAAAGATTATTTTAATAAAAAGCATGAAAATATAAACAAAAGAAATTGCCAGGCAGCATTGGTGCACTCCTTTAACCCCAGCACTCAGAGGCAGATGCAGGCAAATCTCTGAGTTTGAGACCAACCTGGTCTACAGAGCAAGTTCCAGGATAGCCAGGGCTACACAGAGAAACCCTGTCTCGAAAAAGCAAAATCAATCAAAAATTAAATAAATGACAATTGAATGCTAAGACCTACACAAGAAATTTATACCACATATTCTAAGGCTCAGGGAGTGTTTCAGAAAAGGGATTAGAAAGAACATAAAAACTGAAAAACAAGAAAACAGGTTGAAAAATGTCATTATTTGGCAATGAATAGACATTGCTATCATGAATCTCAACACCTACAATGATTATACTAGTTCTACCCAAGAAATGGCTTACTAACATAAATTCATGGATGGAGGAGGGGCTCAGGGGACACTATCCCTCACTGCTAAACTATCCTCCCGGTTGATTCATGGGAAGAGGGAATCATTGCTTCATTTCTGTATTCACTGGTCTTTACGCCAGACTCCAATAACTAGTCCTAATAACATGTCCACACAGATGCCCCTTGTTAACGTAAGTGGGTCACCAAACCAAACCAAAAGTAATGACTATGGGAAAGGGCCAGGTGTGGAGGAGACTGAGTTAATAGTGGGAGAAGAGAGGCAAAAGACGGTGCTGGGCAAAAGTGACCACAGTGCACTAAGTACACTTATGAAACAGTCAAAAACTAACTGACTTAAGAAAAAGGAAAGAAATGCCTCCTTCAAGGATGTACAAGACGTTGCTGCTGAACAAAAATGACAAAGTCAGAAATGGACCCGTGCAGAAGAAGTCATTACAGTCTTTCTTCAGGGTCCTGGCTTTGGTAATTCGAAGGTTGCACAGAAGGGACAGTTGTGTCATATGGTAACTGTAGTTTGTTCCATCCTGCTTTCCATAGCTTCTCCTTTCTCACATTTCTACAATATTCAGGGCTCCACTTCCTCCACATTCTCTCCCACACCTACCTTAGCTTGTGTGATATTTCTTGTGTCGGGGTTTGGTTTGCATTTCTCCAGGGCTGAGTCAGGATGCAGATTTTCTGTATCCATTGTTCCTTGAAGCATCACCTTTTGGAGAAACATTCCTATTCAAGTTTTGTCCATTTTTAGATTTAGTTATTTGGACGTTTTGCTACCAGGTTCCTTAAATATTTTGCATATAAATTGCTTAGGTAATATGGAATTGCAGACATTTTCTCCAGTCCATCGGTTGCCTTTCATTGTCGGGTGCTCCCTTCATTTGTCCAAAGGAGTCTCTGCTGTTTCGCTATGCCTTCCTTGGCAATGCTTTTGTTGCCGTGGCCCAAAAATAACAATAATATAAAGAACCTTTCCTATATGCTTTCTTCCTGAAATTTCATAGTTTAAGGTCTTTGATCCATACTGGGTTGATTTTTATATACAATAGAAAGTAAGAGTCCACTTTCATCAAAGTTTGGAAAACTTTGTAAAAATTTAATAGTACTAATTATAGGCTTCCTAAGAATTCAGAATCTAATGCTTTTTTTTTCCTTCCAGATCTGAAGCCAATTTTCAGTCACCTTCACTGTGTTAACTCAAGCTGAGAATTTAAAGTAACTCCAGGTTGGTTGACACAGTGTGGCGGCAGAAACCACATACATTTTTGAAGTTTGATGGGTACTGCCTAGCATTATTCTCTGCTATAGTGACAGGGTGATGGTTGCTTAGTAATTTTATGTTACTTTTTTGTTGTGAACTACTTGAATTTATGACTAAAAAAACTGGGGTTTTTCCAGAAAAAAAAACTCTGAGAAGCACAAGCACTTCCAAGCAATATATATCTGTATTATATAATGTGAATAATATACAATGTCTATGATAATACCTGCCAATTGTTATATGATTTGTGGTTTGTAAAATGCTTAAGGGGACCAAAGAGATGACTCATGTGGAAAATGTTTTTACATGAGGATCTGAGTTCATATCCCTAGAACAAAATTAATTAATTAAATCAAAATGCTTGAGGAAGCATGCAGAAGAACTATTCTCACTTCTCAGACAGAGTGGTCCTCTAACATCATCCCATTAATGTGATGCTTGTGATCTCCTCTCTGTGTTACCCCCTAAAAGGGTGGCCACAGGGGTGTTGACTAAGTCCATGCTTCTCTCCCTTAGATTTCGCATACAGATACAAGAACCTACCCTCCTCTATAGAGGAGCTGCCCTTCCCTTTAACATGTGTGCATGCGTATCAGGTGAAATAAAATGTGAATTCTAGCTCCACAATTTATAAGCTGTGTGACCCTGCAAGTTGCTTACACATGACTCATCCTCTGGTCTTCAGTTATAAAATAGAGACATCTACCTTGGGATTCCTGTAAGGGGTAAATAACATGGTTGCTTTTAAGTAGATTTCATTAGTTTTCTGTGTGCCTCTATATCTTTAACTTCATCCATTATTCAAAAAAAAAAGCCTTCTATGGGATAAACATTTTAAGTTTAGGATGTTCCTTTTGAGGTTTCCAGACAAAGGGGGATTGTTGCCTGGAGTGTTTGTTAATTGCTGTTTTGATTTTGTTGCTGTTGTTAGTACCAAATACTATTCTATCGTAGTCAGAAGACATGATCTTTGTGAGAGCCAGTCTTTGGAATACATTAAGGCAATTTTTACTTAAAATTAGATCATACTTTTAAATAGATTTTCTTTGCTTGATGAGAATAGTCCATATTTCCAAGGGACAGAGTGCACTCATATCTTTGCATCTTTACCTCTATCTATATACCAAATCAATCCTGTTTAATGTGTAATTCAAATTCTTCCTAGCCTAAATTTATTTTGAATTTACTTCAGAGAAGCATATTCAATATCCTATTATGATTCAAAGCTTTATTAATTTGTCCTTATAATTCTGTCATTTTTCTAACTTAATGTATTTTAAACCATGTCATTAAGCATATCTAGGAATATAGTGCTGTCACTGTACCACTAGATATAGCCATCACCCCCAATGTTGTTTTTAAAGTTTTATTACATTTATTTTTTTCATGCATGTGTGTTTGTGTAAATGTGAATGTGTATGTATGGCCAATCTGCATAAAATTACTTGTATGTAAATGATTTCAGGCAGCACTGACCACTTTGCATTAGATAACCAGTTTCGGAGCTCGTCCCTAAGGAAGACTATTTCTTTTTTTCTTTTTTTATTGAGAAAAGGAAAAAAAAAGTTTCCGACTCCTTCCGGCCTCCCATTTCTTTCCCCCTCCCCCAAACAACTCCCCCTCCCTCTCCAATCCAAAGAGCAGTCAGGGTTCCCTGCCCTGTGGAAAGTCCAAGGTCCTCCCCCCTCCGTCCATGTCTAGGAAGGTGAACATCCAAACTGGCTAGGCTCCCACCAAGCCAGAGCATGAAGTAGGATCAAAACCCCGTGCCATTGTCCTTGGCTTCTCATCAGCCCTCATTGTTCGCCATGATCAGAGAGTCCAGTTTTATCCCATGCTTTTTCAGTCACAGTCCAGCTGGCCTTGGTGAACTCCCAATAGATCAGCCCCACTGTCTCAGTGGGTGGGTGCACCCCTCGTGGTCCTGACATCCTTGCTCGTGTTCTCCCTCCATCTGCTCCTCATTGGGACCTTGGGAGCTCAGTCCAGTGCTCCAGTGTGGGTCTCTGTCTCTATGTCCATCCATCACCAGATGAAGGTTCTATGGTGATATGCAAGATATTCGTCAGTATTGCTATAGGATAGGGTCATTTCAGGTTCCCTATCCTCAGCTTCCCAAGGGACTAACTGGGGACATCGCCTTGGGCTCCTGGGAGCCACTCTAGGTTCAAGTCTCTTGCCAACCCTAAGGTGGCTCCCTTAACTATTTCTGCCACTCTCAACACTCCTTAGTTCCCTGAAGTTCTTTGTCTAGGGCTGAGGCCTTGTGAGAGTTCCCCTTTCCCCGTTAACTTGTCTATCATTGCCATCCTTGTTCAAATCTTGTTTAGGCAGCTATGTGGACAAGTCTTCACGGTATAGCTTCTCTGACATTCTCCTGTGACATAGAGTAAGATATTTTTTTCTGCCAAGTGACCCGCCTGAGTGATAGAAACTTCCTGTGCTTACTTTCAGAGACTGAGTCAGTTCGCATCCTGCATCCTTATCCATTGTGCTGGCCAGCTCTAGCTTTGCAGGCTAAGTGCTATAAATCAAAGACTTCATTCTGTCGCACTCACATTTCTCTGACCACTAACAACTGTGCATTCTTTCTTCATATGCTTATTCAGAACTTAATAATTCATGTGTTCTGCCCAGTTTAAACATTTTTGTGGGGATTTAAGATTTTCTTATCCATTCTAGATATCAACGTATTGATCATTCTAGACTTTACAATTTTTCCCCTTTGTTCTCTGACTTTCAGCTTTTGGGGCATCCTTGGTGAAATAATCCATTTATCCTCATCTTGACTTTTGCCTTCAGAAACTGTGCTACAGTATCTTTGACGGTAGACCACGGAGACATGCTCTACTGCTTTCATCCATTGGTTTTATCACCTCGTACTCCACTGAGATCTTTACTATCTTCTAAAGGGCGGGAGTTTCACTGGTTTTTCTTAAGGTGCATGACTAAAACAGTTCTCCTAACATGTCCACAAAACCAATAGAAGATCTGGTTAAGTTTACTCTGGATATACAAGATAAGGTTATGAAACTGGACAGCTATGTTAGGACAATGCCTTCTCTCCATTCACATCTCCGTTGTGTCTTTTCACTTGAATATTTTCCCTGCAGAAAATCTTACACATAATATGTAAATTCATCTTTACATGTTTAACCAATCACCTGATATAAAGAAAAGTACATTTTCTTGACTATTGCTATTGTATGAGGATAGTATTGATATTTAAGTTGACTCAGTATATACTAACCTTACCCAACTGTATATTTTAAGGAGATTTATCTTCACAGATAAAAAAATTGAAGAGTCCCAAGTGCACAGAGATGCCCCAGACACCCCTCTGTCCTCACATATGCATGATCTTATCCTTATCAACTCCCAGCAGAAATAACAGTTCCTCGATTCAAGGATGTACATCAGCACATGGTTACCAACAAAGTCCCAGACCTTGTATTGGGGAGCTCACGGGCACAGATCATCTGTGGGTTTGAACAATATCTAGGAATGAACATCTATCTACGATTGCTGCATCATACAGTCTTTCCACTGCCCTGAATGTCCTTGCACGATGCCCTTCTCCCCTTCCTCCCTCTCTTCCCTGGAAACCACTGGCCTTTCAACTGTCACCACAAGGTTGCCTTTGCCAGATCGTGAGATGGGGTTGCTCTCTAGAATCTTGTTGTGTGCTATATTCTTTTGCCAGTAGTCCATTCATTACAGTTTCTAGTCCTTCATGGAGTCCTATAAGCTCTTAAAATACATTTATTGTGTAAAACCCTTTCTAAGTCTTCTGTTCTTTCCAGTTAATGGACACTAACTCTTATCAATTAATAATGTAAATTAGGTAATTTTTCCTCTAATGCATAATTTCTTATATAACCTATTTTCATTATGAGCTCATTTTCAGCAGGGTTCATGTGGTCTAGAATTTCTCAAGGTCGTGGATTTATATAAATATCTATACAGAGAAGTTCAGTATTTGTTTTCCTGAGGATATGAAACATGCCTGAAATAGTTTACCAGTGAGTTTTCTACATTGTTTTCATTACTGCAAGAGTCAAACAGGTTACATTCTGGAATTTTATTTCTCATCAATGACTCTCCAAACCTCCTTTAGAGCCTACAATGCCTAGCAAACTTCATTGACTCCCCCCAGTCCTTTCTATGAGTAAGGTAGCAGTTCAAATCTATGTCAAATCCCAGAAGCCTAAGACTTTATTTCTTATTCTCCTGGGGCTCTAGCTTTGAACCTCTTCTTTATTCTATATTTACATATTTCATTTTTTAGTTCAACCTTTATTTTTCATTATCTTGGTTTTAAAAGAAGCGTGGCACTCAGTAGCATTAGAGATTCTCCTGTATATCAATGTCTTGTGACTGTAACTTCAGTCATGATGCCTTGTTAACAAAGCAGCTAAGAAACTTGAAAACCTAATTCTCTAGTTCTTCCCTTTAGGTCTCAAACCACATCTTGATATGAAATATCACATTCATTTCTAGCATTTAATCACCTCGATTGACAGTGTTTAGAATTATGTAAATGACATATTTGTGGGTTCATCTGTGAGATTGTTTCCTGAGAGGCTTAAGGAGGGAGATCTTCCTTCAAAGCAGCCACCCTCCAATGTGTGGCTTAGATATCAAGAGATCCAAGATAAAGAGCAGTGTGCACTTGCTCTCCTTCACTTCTTTCTGAGCTAGTCTAATGCTGCTGCCAATCTCAACTAACATCAGACTTCGGATTCTTCAGTCTTCCATTGTAGAATCAATAATTAGTGACCTTCCCGGGAACTTTTAGCACTGGGTTGGAACATTGAGGCATGTGGATTTGTGGACTGAGCAACTACTGGGTTCTCTGATGTGCAGGCAGCCTTTGTTGGACTACTTCACCCCTCTTGTGTAAGTCAACCCAATAAATCTCCTTTTGTTATCGATACACAGTTTTATTCCTCTAGAGTGCCTTCCCTGACTTGTCAAGCTTAAAGCTACACTTGGTGAAAGCAGAACCAAGTCATTCAGGCTCTACTTAAATGTTCCTTGAATTCTGTGGATCTGAAGTGCTATGCCCCCCTTACTTCCTAAGTTACTCATTCCCTTCAAAACTAAAGCTAGACACAGAAAGTTACTGTTCTTTACATCCAAAAATATATCTGCCTTGGCTCACTTAGCGATACTTTCATTAAGTTTTCTACATAATGGCTGGATATTTCCATTTCCTTTCTGTGAAGTTACTTGTCTAATTAAAAGTACTTCAAGATCTAAAACTGAGGCACTGTGTTCTACAGGAAACCCAATTAAACCACTGCTTGGGATGCTTTGTCACAAAGACAATCTGAAATAAAAATGAAGCTGTGACGTCATGCATGCAAGTGGGTGCCATTGTTTCAGCATTCCTCCAGAGTGTGGTGCCCTTGGTCACTATACAGAGGCACTTATATAAAGCGATATGTTTTCAGTTATGTGCATCTCTACATGGGTTCTTTTTAGGACCCCATGTTCCTGTAAATCAAGAACAGAATTATATAGTATGCATAGCACAGCATAGCATAGCATAGTATATATGCTTACATGTGTAATCCCTTACCTTGAAATTTGAGTTGCAGTGTGTGCTGTCCAAGGACAAAGTAAACTGGACTGGGAAGTGAGTTGTGTGGGAGGAGGGGAGTAGAAAATGGGTAGATCATCTGTTAATACAAGTTCGTTAGGCTTGAGGACTGGGACAGACTTTTCATACTTCAGAAAAGCATCCAACTATTTGGTGTTTATCTTCAGCCTTCCAGGGATTACTAGTGGCATTGTTTTGATAAGGAAAATAGGAATTGTATGGTCTCATCATCTTCAAATAATCACTGTGTATGGTGGTAAGATCAAATGTGATAATTACATGTCTCCTTTGGAAGACGTAAAGTGTCATTTTAATATCCAAGTATTCGTCACACCTTGGTGTCACCATCAGTAGAGAAGGTACACAGGTAAAGTCAAGCATCTTCATTTTGGTACCGAGGTTCTGAATTCATGTCTTTTTCCCACCCACCTCTACACCCTTAAATCAGACTGTCAGTGCTCACTCAGAATAGTTTACTCCCTACAGTCATCAAAGGTTTCTACCATCAGTCCTGGGTTCACGGTTCCTCGCAGCTGAAATACAGAACAATGCGTCTTACAGTCAGGATCACGTGTTGAGAGGGAAAGATGGTGCTCTTCTACCCTCCTCCATTTCTATTTCCTTTGTATCTCTCCTATCTCTTTTATGATATCACTAGTCTATTAATAATGACCAGAAAGATTAAAAGGAAGAATAAAACAGGAGCACATTACAGAAATTTCCCAAAGAACAAATAAAAATATTATTTTTAAGTCATTTTTCCATTTTAAAATACACATTACATTGTTGTTAAATAGTGTGCTGTGTATGTCAGGATTTCTTACTCTTCTCTAACAATAATTTGATCACATGAGTGTTTTCTACTTACCAGAAGCCACATACTTAAAACTGTACCCCCTGTAGATTGCCACACTTACCAAGAGTATATGGGTATCACAAACTGGACTTTATGTTCTAAAAGAAATAAAGGAAGTAGGGAAGGGGAAGTTGATCTGAAAGGAGCTGGGGATGCCTGGGAGTATGATCAAAATATGCTGGATGAAATTCTCAGTGAATCTTTATACCAGAGATAGACATTTTTACCTTGAATTAAAGAATAAGCAATGTATACACATGTCTACATGGTACTCATAAATATGCAGAATTTTATATCCATAATATGAAAAGTAGACTGTAAAAAATAAATTTATATTTAAAAGTTAGATTGAGGGGCTGGAGAGATGGCTCAGTGGTTAAGAGCATTGCCTGTTCTTCCCAAGGTCCTGAGTTCAGTTCCCAGCAACCACATGGTGGCTCACAACCATCTGTAATGGGGTTTGGTGCCCTCTTCTGGCCTGCAGACATACACACAGACAGGATATTGTATACATAATAAATAAATAAATAAAT